GGTCACGTATGTGTGAGGAGAGGACATTGATGGTCACGTATGTGTGAGGCGGCTGCTCCCGGGTGGGTTCAGACTTGAGAGGCCTTACTCGTGCCTGGTCATCCAGTTCTCCTGGGACCAATGGCAAACATTCGCGAAGCAGCTGGCTGAGGTGAGGCTAACTTCAGGGGGTCTCCACACAGGAGAGAGCCTGTGGTGTGCAGTTTCTGGGAGCTCAGCTTATCAAGGCCATACCAAAGCCCAGCAGTCCAAGTCCATGTGGACCTGAGCCCAGAGCACCCTGACTCCCCACATGCCCAGCAAGGTTACTGAGTTTCTGAATGCTCCCAAGGCTGTTATTATGCCTGCCAAGGTTTCAGAAGAGACTTTCTCAGGCAGCAGGAGCAAGTGCTAACAGAACCCCACAATGGTCCAATACACGTAAGCTGACCTGCGGTTGCTCAAGCGAGCTTGTGGCTAACCCGCCAGGGAAGAGGTCCAATTGCTGGTTACTCAGCTACTGTCCCAGGGAGCTGGGATCATTCCAGGAGAGAAAAATGCTTGGTCAACGATTCTGTAAGTCACCCAGCGCACTCGTCTCTGCAGAGAGGTCTCCAGAGACAGCCTCCTTGTTCGGGAGGCAGACGGGAGCCGCTGGGGTGAGACCCGTCCTGGCCACAGCATGCCTGCAGGCAGCAGGCCGGACAGGCATCTTCGTCCGGAATCTCCCGTCTAATTTTAGGTGCTCTCAGAACAGTACACGCCCCACGGAAAAAGCCAGGACTGGTTTTTCACCACGTACTCCTAATGGGACAAAAGTCTCAAGACGGGAACCCCACAGGGCTCTAGGGAGAGTGCAATGTAAGCCCAGGCTTCATTCAGGTCTGCCCTCGGCTCCAACACTGCGTGTCTTCATGGCGAAGGTGCTCCTGATTCCCCCAGGCCTCCCAGAAGCCAAGGCAACGTCGATTCCAAGGCATGGCACCTCCCTGTGCGTCAGGGTAGAACTGTGCTCCATCGAGTGTTCAGTGGCTGGTTGTCAGGAAGTAGACCAAGGACAAACCCATGTGTCTTGGAAAGAGCACAGGCAGAGCGCTCCTCAGAAGCAAGGGTGATGAGACTTCGCATCACGCACTTTGGGCCTGTTATCAGGAGAGACCAGTCCCGGGAAGAGCACATCAAGCTGGGGAAAGCAGAGGGGCAGCCAAAAAGAGGACGACTTGACAAGATGGGTTGATTGGCACAGTGTCTGACCAATGGGACCACACCTAAGAACAAGTGTGAGGATGGCACAGGCCTGGGTAGTGTCTCGTTCCGTTGTGCAAGGGGGTGCTATGGAACCAACTGGATGGTGTCTAATAACAGCAAAAAGACACCTCTGGGTGGACTTGAACCACCAATCACTTGTATCACTCAAGAACTGTTCCGGACAAGCCACTCTCAACTCTGGCCCCTCTGGTACCTGGTTGATGCTTCGCTAACAGCACTACCTGTGCACTGGACTTCAGAAAGCATCTCTCTGTCTGCCTGTCGATCGGTCGGTCTGCTCCGTGAGCAGGGGCTAGGCCTACCTCCTCTATAGCTCCAGCCTAGTACCAGAGAAGGTGTTTGGCAGAGACGATGCAAGCATTTCAGAAGGATAACAGTGGTGTCACTCGTGGACAGCCTGTCTTATTTGGGGGGCAGGCAGGGGATCCCATACACTGCACTGGAATCCATTATCCAAAGTAATGTAATTTATAAAAATTCATGCACGTCACCCCTTAGTGATAGATCCCAGAGGGGGAAGATGAAACCTACAATGTAAGTCCAAATTCTTTTCTATAGTGAGACTGTAGAAAAGAAAACCTACTTCCGAGGGGCAGCTGTAAAGTAATGGGGTCTGAGCACAATACCCAACTACTGTACTGGTTTGTATTCAGATGGAGTAGGGGCACCACCGCACACTGACACTCTTAGCA